TAGTGGAAGTATCTTGAGTGGCTGCTGTTTTCTTGGTCAAAACTGTTCTCTAGTGGAACTCCAGTGGATTTGAAGTTCTCTTAGTGTTGTGAGCTGGACAACACTAAACAGTGGGTTCCACGGGGAGACCATTCCCTCTAGGAGACAAACCAGGAGAAGCACTAAACTAATGGGCATAAGGAGGCTTTGGCCGGGCCCCAACTTGCTCTATACCACCAGCAAGACAGCACAGGCCCGTTTAATGTACCTCCACCCACTTCCTTCCTACACAGAGTGCCTCACTGGGACCTCTCTTCTTTCCCTCCTGGCAGCGGACATTGCAGCAGAGCACTTCCGACTGCTGCAGCCTTTACAGGACGTCATGTTCCCTAAAACACTCAAAAATGACTCCTCACCTGCACCCAATTCTACACCAGATAAAAGACATCATGACATGTATTTATGAGTGATGCCCCTTCTCCTTGTTTCCCGGTCTGACTCTTTGTGTCTCTCCTGCACTTTCTTCTGCCCTGGAGACCATGGGTAACCCTTACTTCAGGTCTCAGTCTCCAGCCCCTCCCTGGGGGCCTACTGAACTCTGCAGAGCCCCGTGTGCTCACCTGGGCCCGACTGCCCTTCTCTCGGAGGACTCCAGCAGCTGCACCTTAGTTATTTATCTCAGTGTCCGTCACTGGTATTATACCCTTGATCGTCACCACTCATTTTATTTGGCCTTGACTTTCTCTTGCACCTTTTGGAAACTCATTATCACATCTCACTGTCATTGTCATTCTTCTCCAATTTTCCTGCCTCCATTAATGATCCTCTTCTCACCTCATTAACTGTAGTAACCTACATGCCAGTCCTCCTGCTGTTAGTACACACCAGAGCTCAGGAGAGGGCAAGGGCGTAGCTGGTGAGGGAGACAGAAAGCAGCCGACTGGTACTCTCCAGGATACAGCACTGTGGGCTCTCTCTTACCTCTAAACCTAAGCTGGGGACTGGACGTGACCACATCGCCTGGGAACTCTGCTCTCATTGCAACATTCTGTTGCTTGGGGGGCCAGAATGGCTGCCTGATGCCTGCCATTTTAAACACCGTTCCCTGCCTGGCTCTTGGGGCTTCCATCATCTGTTGCCCCATCCTCATGCTCCATGTTCATGTTAATAGCCTTCCACTGAACTCCCTTCTCTAACCCAGTACATATTTTCATAGTTCCTTTGCATCATCTCCTTCGATGAAAGTAGCTATAACAGGGCCCTCTGGTTAATAGGTGCTTTTCTCTTAACTAAGCCAATTAAGGAGGTTTTTATTATCTCTAAAGCTGAATTCAGGGTCCAGGTCTTAAACAAGCCTATGTTTCCTATAATGGATGTGAATCTTTGATAATCCTTACCTAAATCCTAAAAAAAAAAAAAAAGTGTCTTCCTAAAAAAAATAATAATAATAATACTTACGTTCCTAAAACAAAACAACAAAAAAACAGTGTCTTCTCTGGAATCACTTGTAGATTCCTTGTAGTTTCTTTTGAAAACACTGAAGAAAGGTAGGCGAGTAATACCCACTGCAGAGCTAATCTTTCCTGGCAGAAAGACAGGAGAATCAGCACACACACACACAATCTTTTCTTTTTCCACTGCACTGCACACAATCAAAACGTTTAAAAAATCTGATTCTAAGTCAGTATCAAAAGGATATTTTTTATTGTTGGCTTGAGTAGCAGTTGCCAACAGTGCCCAACAAAACATTAAAAATAATAGAATTAGAAGCACTGTGATTAGTGTGTTTTCAGGGAAATCATCTTTGCATTCATTTATTGAAAAAAAAAAAAAGGAAAAAGGAAAACCAAGGTGCTCACTCAGCTGAGAGGAATTATGGGGAAAGTAATATGGGAGGACAAAGTATAGCAAAGTTATGGGTGTTTAAAGAATTCCGGAAATGTTTTCATTTTCATTCTCATTATAATTAGGCTCCTAGCAGATGGAGAGAATGTAAATCATATCCTAGCAGGAGACAGACACCGGGTTCTCCAAGATGCAGAGCATGCTGAAGAGACAGCTGCCTTTATCCTAGGGAGGTGACAGCCTGACTTTGTGTTGTGTAGGGTTTAAAAAATAAATTAATATTTTACTGCATACTGTTTATGACAGCTTTTCCACCCCACAGTCAGCAAGGAATCATGGAAACTGTCATTAAGTAGCACCCGGGACCCAGCAACATGTTGAGAGCAGAGTTATTTACCTCCTGGAATGGGGTCGCTAAATCTGCGGAGGGGGCAGTAGCATATCCCTCATTGTGGTACAGTCTTCAAAAGCTTGAGAAGAAAAGGAGGAGTAAGTCATTGTTTATTTTGGGAAAGTTAGCACCGTGGGCCTCCTTTTTTCTGACTCAAGGTTGGTGGGTGTTGCGGCCACCAGATCTCCTAGAAAGGAACTCGCTTCCCTGTGCCTCTCATCCATCGTACCTGCCCTTCCATAATCTGCATCTCCAGGACGGAAACCCACAGATGTGAGGCCGAGCTGGTCCTGCTGTACTAGGCTCACGCCACACAGCTCTGGACCCACCCGGGGACTCCCATCATTCTACAAACACTGTCTGTGGTTGGTTGGCATCTGACAGGGCAAATAGTCTGTGCACTGGATCCCTCCCGTTCCCAGACCCCCACCATGCTGGGGAACCCCATCTTTCCCAGAAGACAGCAGGAAGGCTTTTCAGGAGAGGAAGCTTGGTTGATTAAAAAATTTAATCTTGGTTGATTCCAAGATTCCTGACTGAAGTTAGAGAAAGGGAGAGAGGAATAAGAAGACGCGGTACTAGAGGTGTCCCATGAAGTGCGGAAGACGACAGAAATGACAGGGAGACTGGCCGGTGGGGGGAGAGGCCCATAAGTGATGTCAGGCATGGTGGTAGTTTCTGTCTCTGCACTAGCTCTTGGTCGGTTGCTGACCACTGCACGCTCACGAGAAGCCATTCTTTGTCAGCTGCACCAAGTTTGTCAGTGCACATGATCTACACGAGGTTCAAGCAGGCTGGACCCAAACCCTCCCCAATGTGCTTCCGTCTGATGCCTGGAGCGAACACAGAATGGCCAGTAAGACAAGCACTGTATGCATTCACACAAGCTGGGGGGATTCAGTAATGACGGCGCAAGGAAATTGGTGGTGGGGTGGTGAAGAGAAAGGAGGAATAGAGCAGAAAGCCGTTTGTGCGTAAGAAAAATGAAGCAGAACTGAAAACTCAGTGGCAAGCCTCCTGGTGCAGAGGTTATTAAATTGTTTCTCAGTCTTCCAAGACTCTTTCAAATTATGCTCAATTACAGAGGCAAATATTTATACATGTTCACAACCTTTGTGCAATTCAACCCCTCCCAGCAGTAAAGCCTGCTGGGTTTCCCTGTGAGCTAGTGGGATTTGTCGTGGCTGGACTGCAGGCACTCACCCCTTCAGCTTTTTCTGCTTGGGACTCTCTTTGGAATCCGTGGTGTTGGAATTATTGTTTTAAGTGCTGTTCCCAAGTTATGGAAACTTCATCTGATTTTTTATCTGCAAGCATTAAACTTAATAGTCACTTGCATTACATCCAGTGAGGTGATGCCCTTAAATAATAAAGATTAATACAGAGGAAGCTACATGACTACTGGGACCTGTTTTAATACCCTCAAGTTCAACTTAGACTAGAAACTTTGAATATTTTTTCGGAAAACAGAGATACCTAATCTTAGAACGTCATAAACCATACACGTAACTCATAGAGGGCCTCTATCCGTAAGGATATATGCCAAAAACCAAAATTTGTTCGGCGCTAAGAGAGATGTTCTTCTTGCTTCCATGCACTAAAACTGTACCTGTGGGGGCAATTCCCAAAGTAATGAGAAATCTGAAAAGTAAATAGGAAAATATGACGTTGTCCAGTTTGAGAGTTCTGAATTTTAGCCATTGAAAGGGGTGATGGGTCAGCTTTTCTTTTATTCCCATGGTGCACTCTCCCTCTTTGTGATGGCGTGTTCCCGTGCTGACAAGCTGGCCTACCTTGTACACGTCGTTTGTTTGTTTTTTTAAATGAAATGCTGCAAGGATGGAAAGGTTTAAAAAGCCCACAGGGCTCTGTAGGTTGTGCTGACAGGCAGAACAAAGAAGGCTGAAAGCCTCCTGTGGTCCCAGATCGATAGGCGTTCCACCAGAAGTCTTTCCTGAGTTAGGGAAATGTCCTGTCATTTGAAACATACGTGACTCTGGCTTAAGAAACTATCATAGACCCACTGGCTGCTTAGGGTGACAGTATTGATCACTGGGAATTTCCACAGAATTCAGTGGCAGGGTCACATGCTGATAAGAGTTCTTTTTATGCTAAGCAACGACTCAGATTCCCTAATAAGTTATCCAAGGAGACGCTGAGTCACTTTGCATTTTTTAAAAAGTATCTGAAATAGAGGTGTGTGAACAATAACAAATATCTCTATATATGTTAATAAAAGGATTCTAAAAGGCATTATCCTTTCTTTGCCTCTCAAGTTGGCATTCCTTCTTTCTACCTTGCTCAGTCTGTTTGGCAGCAAGCCCTCATGTGTTCAGGACAGAATCTGCTGTTCTCAGCGGGCCAGCCACAGCTCTCTGTAACTCAGAATCATCATCCTTGCAAGATCTCTCACTGATCTCCAGGTCATTCATTTCAGAACATGACTGAAACAATGCCTCATGATCCGATTGTCATAAAAACAAACCTAATTCTAAGTTGTTAAACTACCATCTTCAAAATATCTCGTACTGATTTAAACAGGAGAGAGGAGAAATCTCACCTTACCTGATATGCAAGTACCTTACCTCCCACCTGTTAGAAACTGTGAATCGAGGAGAATAGGTTTAATTCCCGTGTGTAGCCCAAACTGTCTCATTTCTGTGGTAGTTCTCGTCCACATCCACAGGTTTTAAGGATCAAGAAAGTCAATACCCTCACCAGGGTTTGTGACACGTGTGCTGGTTAAAGCAGACCTATTTCTGTCAAAGACCCATTTGGCTGGTACCTGGCACGCAGTGAATGGTTTAATTCTCCAGAGGAATGGCGGGATGTCAAGGACAGAGATCTGAAGACTGAAGGTATTGCCTTTGAAATGCAACAACTTTGGTTCTTCCAGCAGCTGTCCACCTTGGTGCCTTTCATCTGAAACCACTTCCTGGAGGACAAGAAAGAGAAAAGAGGGGCAACGATGAAGCATCCAACTGCCTCCTCATTGTCTTTCCATATACTTGTACGCTTGCTGCCACGTCTCCCAGACACAGCCAGACAGCCTCAGGGACGCGCTGCCCTTTTATACCCCCTTATCCTTGCAAGGCCAGGCCTCAGAATGACAAGCCGCTGGGTAATAAGGATTTGGGCAGAAACAGCTGTCCTTTATTATTTATGTTGCTCAGGCTTTTCAACACTGCCTTTCTTTAAAAGACCTCCCTTGCCCCAAGCAAACTGTAATACTGTTGAGATTTCGTAATTGTGCGAATTTCATTCTGATATCACAATCAAGGGGTGCCTTCATATTTAGCCTGACACGTCACTGTATTTCACTTTCCAGCTTACTTGTTTGTCACTAACCCAGGAATTATACTGGCTTTATCCTTTGGCTCAAAATAAATGTTGTAGAGTGCATGCATCATGTTTATTCGCAGTAATATTCATAAAAGTTATTATGCCAAAAGGCTAAAAAAGAAAATAAGTTGTTAAGTCAGTTTTAGCTCATAAGAAAATCAAGCTCCTGAGATAAATACTCCTGTACCTTTCACTGAAAAATCTTTTTAATAGTATCTACAGTAGACACAATTCTCATGCATTCTATTGAGTAAACCATTTAATTGGTTCCAAATTTGTGGTACTTAGAATGATACTGAAGAGGTGATAGGTCAAGGGAAATACTAGAACAGATAGGAATTCTTATAAACAGTGAAACTACTGTGGGGTTGAAGCTTTTAGTGTTCTTGGAGATAAGAAAGCTCTCTAAATCCATTTTTGAAAGTCACCATTAATTGACTTATAATTTCCTTGAAAAGCGAGGATAAATAAGAAAACTGAAATCCTTTAATTATGTCCTATAATCTTCCCAGACTGCAACAAAGATTGTGAGAAGTCAGCCAAATAGGTTTATAAATACAATAAAACTTAAATTTCAATTACCAGCAAGTACAGCAGCTTCAGAGGTTATCTTACCCGTCTCTTCTAAGTACAGAACATTAATAGAAACATTTCCAAGCGGCAGCTTGTATCCTTCATGTCCACATATACTGTTAATAGGTTGCTAGTATCTCAGGACTAAGTGCTTCAGTGCCAATGTCATTTCCTTCAGCGCTTTGGTCTTGACAGTGGGAGAGGTGTTTCTTAAACCCTCAGGTCAGTGCTGACCTTCCTGTGATGAAATGTTCTCTGTCTGCACTGCCTGGAATGTTCTCCGCCGGCCACCATGGCTATTCAGCACTTGAAATGTGGCTAGAGTGACCCGGGAACTTTTGAATTTTTCACTTTAAATACCCACATGTGATGAGTAATTACTGTACTGAACACAGCACTAAACACTGAACAGCAGGCTGGGTAATTGAACCACTAGGGATCTAAGCGTTGGCTGTCACATCACTGTAGTCAGTGTCTGATGGGGGCTGCCAGAGTGGGAGGAAATTAACCCCAAATGCTGACTTCAGGTGTTTTTTTCTAGGTACTGGTCACTGGTTCCTTCTTTTGAGATTTAGGGAATATCCACGGCAGCTAGGCTTAAGCTGGACTCTGGGTCACAGAAATGCACCTGTCTCTGCCACCAAGGGGCTCCCAGTCTGGTGAGAATGGTCAGGATAGTAGGCATGTGAACACCATATCACACCTAAGTATTATAGATACGTGAATGCCTGGGAGGGTAAGGCAAACAGGGTACCTAACACAGGTGGGAGGAGGGGCCAGGGAGGGAACTGGGAAGCTGCTCAGGAAATGACATTTGGGCTGAGCTTTGCAGTAAATACAGGGGCTAGCCACAAAGGGGAGGGACAGTGCGCTGGAAGTGCACAAGGGCACAGAGCGCAGACAGAGCTGGGACACAGGGTGACAGTGGCAAGCGTGTGACTGGAGATGATGAAAATGTGTAAGGCAGGTCTGAATCATGAATTGCCTGCCATGCTAAGGATTTTGCATTTTCCTGTAACGTAATGTTGCTCAGGTTTTAAGGTTCTTAAGACTTGTCTGGGGGCTGCATGTTTCAGAGTATGAGTCTCATAAACTGAAAATGGAAGCACAGGATCCCAGTCATGTTTCTAGTGGTCTTGGGCAAGTTACTCATTTTCTTTAGGCCCTCAGTTCCTTACCAGGATTTATTCATAGCCAGGCAAAATAATTAGCATGACCACGTATTTACCCCTTTGCTATCCTACTGCAAGGCTAGAAACAAGGATAAGTAAGAAACATACTTATTAAAACCATATTAAAGCCACAGAGTAACAACAGACTTGACTCTTTGGTGTGTATTTGATTAGGCTCGCTAAAGGATACCCCTTTGTTTTTTTCTGTTTTTTCTGAGCAGATTTTTAAATATTGAAATATAGTTGATATACAGTGTTACATAGCATCAGATGTACGACATAGTGACTTGACGATTACATCCCTATCATTAAGTGCTCACTAGGTGTAGTTACTGTCTGTCACCAGACAAAGACATTACAATAGTATTGATTGCATTTCCTATGCTGTGCTTTTACCCCCATGACTAATTTATTCTATAATTGGATGTTTCCCCTCTTAATCCCCTTCACCCATTTCACCCATTCCTCTACCTTCCTACCCTATGGCAACCACCAGTTTGTTCTCTGTTTTGGGGAGTCTATTTCTGTTTTGTTTGTTCATTGTTTTCTAGACCCACATGTAAATTAAATCATATGGTACTCGTCCTTCTCTCTCTGACTTCATTTAGCATTAAAATCCTCTAGATCTATCCATGTTGTTTCAGACAGCAATATTTCATTCTTTTTTTATGGCTGAATGATGATACCCTATTGTGTATATGTGCCACATCTTTGTCATTCATTGATGGACACTTAGATTGTTTCCCTATCTTGGCTATTGTAAATAATGTCAAGATAAACACAGGAGTGGATTTATCTTTTCGATCTAGTGCTTTTGTTTTCTTCCAGTAAACTCCCGTAAGTGGAGTTACTGGGTCACTGGTATGTTTATTTTTCGTTCTTTGAGAAACTCCCACACTGCTTTCTATGGTGGCTGCACCAATTTACATTCCCCCCAGGTCTATGAGACTTCCTTTTTCTCCACACCCTCAGCAACATAAAGTGTCCCCCTTCTCCTTAAATCTGACTTTTGTGAATGGTTAGAGAGGTCAGTTGTGTCAAGAAGATGAGACAACGGGTCAAGGTCATGTGGGAGACTGCTGTGGAGCTGGGCTGTTTTGATATTTAGCAACTACACAGCATCCTCCCACTAGAAGGGAATTTATCTACCAAGTTTTGAATCACTAAATACCTTATTTACAAATGAAAACATGACAACCCCCCCCCACCCACCCAAAGTTATTTGCCTAAAGCTACATGGTTAGCGGCAGAGCTAAGACTGGAATGGGGCAACTCAATTACAATCTAGTGTTTTTTCTACTAGGTTTCCCTGCCTTTTCCTATACTAAGCTTGCCTTTTTTTTTTTTTTTTAGAGAGTCAGATGAAGGTCAGACTGCTATTAACTCTGTCCCATAAATAATTTTTCATTGGTGCAAGATATATGTAAAGATGACATAAGCCAGTCTGTATTTGCCCTGGGGTTCTAGATACTGTTTAAGTAGTCCCTGAAATGCAGAATGGAGAATACTGGAAATTTTTAGTGGTGATCTGCTTATAATTACCACAAAGGAAAACGGTGCCTTAAAGAAAATTCCTGCTTTAGAGCCCTGATTTTAAATACAACCATGATTTATTTTTGATATTTTTAAGCTTATTTACTTTCATCTCCACACATTGAATCAACTATATGCAATTCACCGTGTCTCATAATCTTGCCCAAAATATTAAGCAATTATAGTTATTCTGTAATAAAACAATTAATGAAAACAATTAATTATTAAAATGAAGAAGCCCAGTCATGAACTAATCATTGCATTTATATATATGTAAAAGAACAACTGGCTTCAGAGTTAAAAGAAATAAAGAAACGTTAAAACACCCTCCAAACAGAATGAATTGTTCTTAACACAGAATTGCCAGTGTGCTCACAACCTGTGTTCCTCTGAGAGCTGGGCCTGGACATGTGTATTTTTAAAGTCTCAGGTGATTCTGGCAGTTAGCGGGGTTTCAGAATCTGGGGCACAGCTCTGTCTGCTGAGTCAGCTCGGACTCACATGGACGTGTCGCTCCCGGGGTGAGGCCGGGTATCCATTTGACTTTTCCTGTTTGTCTCCTGCATGACAAGGACCTTCTGTTGAATCCCTACTTCTAGTGTTAAACTGCTGTCTGTATCAACTGAATTAGAAAACAGGGTCTGGCCAGTTTCTTGTCTATAATGTACCTAAAAGCTATGGTTGGTAGTTTTCTAGCTTCTCTACTTTGTCATCTCATGCTGGGGGCGCTCATCATCCAGGTCTCGGACTTGGATGCTTTGTGCCTTCGTGAGCTCTTTGTGCCGATTTACTGAGACAGGCAGCACTAGTCAGGTGTGCTCCAGGGATATGAGAACAGGCGGGCGGAATTTACATATTTATGAGACAAAACTGTTTGAACACACATGCACACACACACACACACACACACACGGAAATTATGTTGCTGTGGTGTTTTCCTTTAAATGCTTTACATGAACAGTATTTCCCAAGGTTGCATTATTGATAAACACAAGAACTACATCTGCAGAAGAGCCTTTGAAATTAGATTCTAAATCCACATTAACGCCAGGTAAATAATGAGTACCGAGGCGTACCGAGTAGGAGCGCTGGGAACAATGGAGGAAAAACTAGTGGTGGTGGGTTTTTTTCTAAATTAGGGCAAGTGCTTAATTCCTTGCTTTCCCTATGTCAAGGTTTGTTTGAGCTGTGTGTGTGTGTGTATGATAAAACATAGAATAGCTAGGTCTTAAAATGTTACTGCTTTGAGGATATATCACCAATCCTCAATTTTTGCTTTGAATTCATCACAATTATGTCAAAGGTCAAAGGCGCAAACCAGAAGATGGCAGCTCTGATTTTTACAGAAACACTGTAGCAGGAAAGACTCAAAGTCAAGTCTTCCAATGATCTTCTTCACCTTCAGGCAGGTGGCATTTTTATTAAAAGAAAACAAAAAACATCTGAGCTGACTTAATTTTCCACAGAGATGGTTTTAGATGTATTTATCAGAATGAATCGTCAAAAACCTGAAACTAAATGATGTCTTACCAAGACACATAAGGTATTTTTTGTCATTCAAAGAAAATGCTACTGTTATTTAGATGAAATATCACCAAAGGGAGAGGCAAGCACCGATGCTCTGCAGGAGGTGCAGGGGAAGGAGGGCATGGCTGGAAATGGAGAATGTTTCTGTTTGATTCCTAAACCCCCTGCAGGAATATCTGGTGGTGGAACCAGTATACTGCCAGGTCCTCATGCAATTCTAAGAGGGCAGGAGAATTGGGTCTGGAAGCTGTCCTTCCAAGGATTTCTAGTGAGTAGGCTTTTGTGCATTTTATTGGGCGTAACTTCCCAGCAATGTACACAGGAAATGAAAGGTCTGACCCTGCCTGTTAACAAGGCTCCCGTCTTGGGGAAGAGCATGGTTCTAGTTGAGCACATGTTTGTTATCATTTCTTTGAGACATGAAAGATGTACTGCAATAAATACAGCAACTGTCACAAGCATGCTCCTATCTATTTCCAAATCACAACAAACATTTTCATTATAGTGATAAGTGAGGCAAGTTCTTGGATAGGCAGTTTCTGCAGGAATGCTTCATGAAAAACCACATACTAATTTCGATTAAGAAGTCAGGGCTCCATTAGTTACAGAAGATGAGTCACCACTGTCTGCAGTGTTTACAGCTCAAACCACATACTTTAGGGGAGCTAATATTAACTTGTGAAGTCTTCTAGAGGTTCAAAAAGTGAACTGTTGCTAAGGCTTTCTTGAAGTGGAACTGTTTTAATGGGTTAGTAACTTCATAATTTCTGCCTCTAATTAAATTCCTCATAGGAAGCCATGAAAAATAAGACACAGGTGATTTGGGATATTCAGGTGGTTTAAGTGGCCTTTGCTGAGGGGCTGAGCACATTCAATTAGTGAGGAAAAAAATCCACCAGAAAGCAAGACCCATTCAGAAACAAACCCCACAGTTCAGGACTGGGGAGAAATGGCTCTGTTCACGTTTTGATCTTTTTGTGGGCCAGAAGAGTTATTCAGCCGAGGCTGATGATGTCCCTGGGCCCCAGGGAAAAGTCCTGCTCATGACAGCTGTCACATACATCCTGTCAGTAACAAGGACGACCAACCCAACTCTGAAACCAGCTTCATTTGACATATTAGGGGAGAGAGAGAATCACTAGAGGTAAATAGATTATGACACGTGGGGTCACAGGTATTTTCACTGGAAAACATTTCTCCAGAGCAGAGTTAAAGAGCTTTAAGAAACATCTCACAGTGATGAAACATCTCACTGTTTGTGGGTGGTGACTTCAAAGGCCAGCTGTGACAAAGGTTTGCACGGTTACCCTGGCCAGTAGTGGGTCACCTGCTGAGTCAGGGGACAGGAAATTCTCCACAGTCTCCTCTGTTTACTCCAGTTTGCTCCCCCTCCTCAGCCTCTCGCTCTGTCACTAATGACCCAACTTGACACGTCCTCTGTTTGTGATACTTTAACCCTTCTCTCCTCTTGAGTGCCAACTGACTCGTGGTGCATTTTACAACGGTTCAGTGGTAGTGACAATCTCCATTCATTCTTTATTTTTGACTTCTGAATGTCTACTGCATATTTTATCTTGGAGAAATCCTATTTAGGGGTGGCAAAAGCAAAATAGGAGTATAAAATGGCAATCATAGGATGGGGTTTAACTACTTACATTGAAGTTCTTTCCAAGAATGGCGTCCCTATGAAAAAGGCCTCATTTATCAGCCAGATATTAAGCATGCCCTTCATAATGAACTGCTACTTAAGAGACGGTCAGGGAAGGTTTGGGAACATAGGTTGGCACCATGTCAACAGTACTGGCTGATGCACAGGATTCAGGTCATTGTATCTCTTCTATTGGTAAATATGAGTTTTCTAGCTCAGTGTCTTAAAAGCTAGTTGCTGAGGAAATGCTCTGCATAGTGGACTTTATGATGCAGGACTGGAATAGTGGGGATCTGGGGTGAAGTGTGTCAGGAGAACTATGATATTTATATATAGGCAAAGCTTACATGGGCACTTCCATATTATCCTTGCTGCTATTAATAAACTCTCCTTCTTTGTGAGTAGCTAATTCAAAAATGATTCTTACATGATTAAAAGTACCAAAAATGGAAAAAGAACCTTGAACCACCACTGCCCTCGTAGCCCTAATAATTAATGGGCTGTGTGTCCAGGATACAATATGACTGCCCGCTGAGAGGGAAGATTTATAATTGTTGTTCCCTCACTACACCCTGCAGGTGACTCCAGCAGTTTCCTCCCTGCCCTCTGCACCTCAAGGAACTCTTGCTTTTCCCATGACTCATGCCTTTCTCCTTCCTTCACATGGCATCCCTTTCTCTTTTGCTCCTAAATCTCATCCATGCCTGAAGGTTCACCAAGGCTTCTCAAAGACTATTCTCCAATTCCTCTATTGCAATTGTTTCTCAGTTTTCTGAATTTCAATATACTTCTAGTCTGTTTTATAGTTTAGCACACGTCCTCTATATGCAATAATTTAACCCTTCTCTCCTCTTGAGTGCCAACTGCCTCATGTCCTCCGAACCCAATGCTTTGCTGGACATACGGTAACCCAGCCCTTGCTCCGAGATAGGTACCCCCATCATGCCAGGGGTGTGGGTTCATTTCTGCGGACCCTCAGCAGAATTCTCTACTGATGCTCTGGGAAACCACATGCTTTCACGACACCAAAGGGAGAATTAGAGAAGGCTGACCTGAAATGCACAGGGCGTGTTGTCCACACAGTAGACCCTCAGATTATAATCCAGAGAGTTACAGGACATGCAGCCGAAAACCGCCACCTTGAGCTGCTTCACGGCACAGTCCGTGATTGGTTCTCCGGTGAGGGCGAACGTGCCAAAGCTGTCCAGGAGCACGTGACATGCAAAGGGGTCCAATAGGCAGTAACAGGATGTGGACTCCTCCTCGACTGACATCACTTCCTGTTGGGTAAAGGTCTGTTCAGTTCTCTCAGCTGGGAAATAAGAAGGTAGTCTACAATTTTTTGAAAGGACATAAACTTTAAAGAGTATTTTTAGTGTCCCAAATTTATTGATCTTAAAGATGCTTTTTCTATGAAAATAACTGCTTCCATCAGGAGCTCAAGAAATCGTTGGATCCAGTGTGCTGGCATCCTGTTGAATAGGTCATAAAAAACATCACTTTCACTTGTATTTTTTCAGTTAATTCAATGCCAAATTTAAAAAACGTCTTAAACATTAACATCAATAAGCAAACTTTTATGTTTTTAAGGTCTGTCTCAGAAGCGCTTTCAATATCCTTAAGGTAATACTTATTTTCTTTCAAATATTTTATCTTCTTTCAATCTACCGAAATCATTCACAAGGGACCGTTAAATAAGTGATTTGGATAAGATATACTAGAATATTTTACCCTTCCTGATAAGAACTTAGGTAGTGTGAGTGGTTTGTGGGAGCATACATACACCACCATCTGGACGTATGTGATTGTGAGGAAGTGCAGAGAAGAAAATTCAAGTGGTAAAAATCAAGGCAAAGCAAAACAGACTGGTTTATGAAACCCACGGAGCTTCAAGCCCCGGGAAATTTGCCTGTGGTTGTATGAGGATTGAATAAATAGCACAGTGCATTTTCAACAAAGAGCACAGACTGGTTTTCAAGACACCGCTGGGCAGGGTAAATGTAATCCTTTACAGCAAACGGGAATTTTCTCCTCCTGAAGGAACATGATTTTCCTTTTACTCCTTTTGCCTGGAGCCCCTCCTGGGACGTAAGGTCCCTGGGCTGGCTGGAACAGGTCATTGTGTTCCAGCGAGATAATTCACCTGCTTTCATGCCAGCTGTCTTCAGACGGACATCAAAGGGATCCCTATCAGACAGATAAATCAGAGGTTTCACTTAATATAGTGATTCCACCACAGTCTGTCTTTGCTGAGGCCGCCTCCCTTGTGAGTCTCCTTACGTATCCTTGTTTTCTTTTTTGGTTTCTCTCATGTCTCATGGTACTGTATCTCTTTTACAGGCACTCATATGCACAGGGACACAGACACTCAGAATTATTTTCAATGAGTTCACTAATTCCCCCAAATATATTTACCACCTCTGGTATTCCTGAAAACTTAAACATTCGTCATAATCCCCAGGATGGCAGAAACGGATAGAGGGAATTTTTTTTTTTTAAGTGAATACAGCCTGCCTGCCCTGAGCCTCCTGCCTAACGTGGAGAGGCCACAGGGAAAGTCAGTTCAGCTTCCTTCTGAAACCAAACAGCTCTGGAACCTCTCTTGCCTGTCTTTTCCATTAGCACAGAAGAACACCAGCCAGTACCTTGAAGCTGTTGTAAAAACACATGCCACGACCCCCACTAGAAAACAAGAACATGCTCACAAATGACACAGCTAACTTGTGTTAGGAGAGAATAAGGTACAGCCCACTCCACAGATGGAACCCAAAGCCTGCTTTTTGAGAAGGAAGAACAGGGTCTTACCTCCCACTTGCCCTGCTGCGTCCTCTTCTTCAAGTGGATGTTCCAGTGCTCAGAGCTGACGTCTGCACAGTGAGGTATGGTCAGTGCAAAGGGAGTGGTGACGATCATGTCTGGCGGGCCACAGGTGACTTCAGGACTCAGGAGCACCTCAGATCCATCTGACTGCAGGCTACATGGTTGCAGGGGGATAACAGAGAAGCATGTAAGGAGGGGGTATATTTCAGAGAGTTCAGTTACAGACTGGGGTTTTCTTCAGGCCGAGTGCCATCCTGTCCCAGGATTCCCTCCCGGGTAGCACCATGCATGCAGAGGGCTGGCCCGGGTAATGGCCATTTATCCTGAAGCACACAGGCTGAGTTTAAGCCTAGATTGCAAATCTTGGTTCTGACAAACAAAATGACAAATGCTTCTTCAGAAATATAGGGCAGAACAGAAGAAAAGCACAGACCAGCTACTGAATCCTTATCCTTGTTGAGAACATTATCAGTGAGCAAAGCCAAGAACTTTCCAGAAATGATGGATCTGGTAATTCTGGTATCAGATTATTTCTCCCAAAAGCACATTCTACAAATATTTTTAATGCTACTAAGCAATGTGACACATTATTATAGAACAAAGTAACACTTCAAACATACCCAGATTGAGTGTTTCTCTCCTGGTTTTGAAAACATTCATTACTGCCAATGCACAAATATATAGGCTATACAGTGATAGCACAAGAGACAAGTTATAAATGTGCATATAAAATGCATAAATATGTATCTTTCAGCTCTCATATTTTAGATCTAAATTTAAAGTCATTCCACCCAAACATGGTGTTCAAATTTTTCTGTATTCTGAGTTATTTACATTGGGAAGACAGAGTCATGAAACAGAGAAAAGAAAGTGAAATTTAAAGGGAAATGATCTCACCTCACTGAATTCCTTTTGCTTAATTTCCTTTTGTTTGTAATCTCTGCCCCAAAATGGTAAGTGGGGTAGTTTATAATACAGCAGTGAGAGGAACCTAGAAGTCTACTGCTGTTTCCCCAACAGCTTAATTGTTTTTGAATGAGGTACTTGGACCTTATTTACTCACTTATTTTGCTGAATTTTCTCTTGTAAGAAATACAGTGATACAGAAGATCATCAATGAAGCAGTTTAGGATTCTGAGATGAACAGTGCTACGTGAGAGCTACAATTGGCATTATTACATAAGCTTTCCTTTGCCTGACCTAGGAAGGATATTAAGTATCCCCAGCCAAAAAAGCAACCCCTTGAGCAAGGTAAGGATGACATTTAGTGTTAAAAGACAGCACCTTTTCCATGACCTTATATAATACACAGCTCTTCTATGAGTACATCTGACATGGTATTCATTTCTGAATTGCTCTGGACATTCCTTGCTTTTTCTGTCCAGTTAGTAGTGGTCACACTCTAGTTCATTATCCAGAATTTGCTGTGGCAGTGAAAGTCAAGGGACAGAACCGAGTACGAGCACCTTCTATCTACTGTATCTGAAACAGGCCTGGACGCTGTCCCTCTGTCTCCCTCCCTGCCTGCCCAAGAAGCACTGGAGATGTCTCCACAAGCTCAGTCCTTCACAGGGGCGACCAGAATCCTAAGTTGGCAATTCTTCCTATGCAAAAAAAACCACAGTGCGAGCTGAAACTATGACTGTACATATCTTTAAGCAGGGCAGGCAAGCGGGGCAGTGGGGGCTTGGGGGAGTTGGAAAATCAGGTATCAGCACTAACAGTGCTCCATGAGCAGCCTAGAACAATATACTTGAGGTCAGACAAAAATCTGTGAAGTCGCGGTGTGAGCTCTCAGCAGCCCAAGCCAGAGCCCGCGTGTGGATGCCTGCCGGCGCCCACTAGAGAGGGTTTCATGCTTTCCCGTATTTGCCCCCTGCATTCATCAGGGCAGGGGTCAGTAGCCCGGATGCTTATGAGTGACCGGTGACGGGCGCTCGGGAAAGAACTGCTTAATGGCCTTCAGAGACTCATCTCCCTGTTGAACATACTGTTCAAACAAGGGAATTTGGGGAACTATTTAATGCCAAATGGACTGAAATCAGCTAATTAGACGAGCTCTCCCACTTGTGAACAGCAAGATCCCTCTCAGTAAGGACTTACACCGCATCAGGAGTCGGGAGGCGGTGCCCGGTGACTCTAAGGCAGAGCTTCCCATTAAGCAGGCACTGGGCGTTGCCACAAACACAAAGGAAGCAAATCAAGATTTAGATCTAATCCTCCTACTTTGGGCAAGATAAGGATAAAATTTAGTGATCATGGATAAAAATAGTGTCTGTGAGAGTAGGTCTCTCTCTGGTGAAGGAACCAAACAAATCTCTTCACTTTTCCCCCACTATAAATAATAATTGGCCCTTTTCTGCCACCACCTATCTGGGGCAATCAGAGAGATTTGCAGAGAGATATTAATTAAAACTCTCCACACACCACTACAGGCAGGTGTTAACAGTTCAGGGTCACAGAGGAGCCCATCAAAACGATGCAGCAAAGTGACCCTAAGTTTCTAACCTGGAGGTGTCTGTTCCCTGCCACCTGCACGTCCTTCTCTGTTACCTCTAGGAGGTTTCTGGTCAGACTGCTGGCTCTTGCGACCTCCTAGATGCAGATGGGGGAGAAAATTGTGCAGTGCAGCCTTGGGTGTGGACTTAGGATATCTGAGGATGGAGGTCTGTGGAGAGCAGTGTGAAGTGGGCCTGGGCAAAGAAGATTCCTAAGGAAGACATGGTGGCATTTCAGTTTCCCCACAGGATGTGATCCGTGACAAGGAAGTCGTCATGCTCCTGCCAGGGGAAAAAAGGCAACACATTTTCCCAAAATTGCTGTGAGCTACTATAACTGAATAGCAGCGGTGATTTGAAGACTGTAGTATGCGCCCGCTCAGGGCATCACACCTCCTAGTGTAGACTCGAAGTCCCGGTCATGTGGGGCTTCGGCCACCTAGGTCTTTCCCTGTGTGTCTCTCTGTACATACATGCTGTGCATGTTTATGAAGGCTTATGGATGTAAAACAGTTAGTTATTGAAGAGCTAGGCCTACGTAGCCTGTTGGCTTGTTGAGCAACTATATGGAAATGTGGCTGTGAATTCAAATTCCTGCTCAAAAGCCAGTGCTGAAGGTTCTGGGGGAAGCTGCCAGCCTTGCAGCTTTGATACCCCCGCCTGCAACGTACATGCCTAGGACATAGTGCCCTGAGGGTCTCAAGAGCATTTTGCCTGGTCATCTGGTAAGATCGAAAGGCCCACACTGTCCGCGCTGCCAGCCTCGTTTAGCTCTAGGAAGGGAACAGGGAAGTCAAGCCCACTGCAGAGAACACAGGAGCGGGCAGAAGGACATGTGAATGCCCTCACGGGCACCCTCACTGCTTGTCTTGGCACCGTCCCATACCACGTCCTTCTCTGACCCTTTCTGTCTCAGAAAACCAGTGTGGCAGACAGGGAAGCCCAGGCCTCTCGGAGGAAATCTCACTTTCCTCCCATGCAAAACAATACCTCCTCTGATTGTTCTGACAATTCAAAGGATTAAAAGCACCTAAGATGCGCCCAGTGGGTGGCGGTGTGTGCTTCCCCAGTCCGAACTCCCTCCCACCTTTCCTGCCCTTTTATGAGTCTTATTTCTCTAGGAGCTGTGCTTTTCTGAGATGGCTAATTTTTTTCAGGAAATTGTCAGTATATCCACATATGCTTAACACAATTTTCAATGCCTTTGGGATGAGTACTTGGGGAATCTGAGGCACCCTGGCAATGCTCTCTTTCCTCTTTACCTCCCAGTCAGTCCTCACCTCTGGGATTTGTAGAGGAATCCCACTAAAAATGCCAACTTGCTCCCACCTCAAAGAACTGCTGCTCTGGGCTGCTCAGCACTGCCAGGCATGGTGTTCCTCCAGAGGTGCACACGACAGGGCCCTTGCACCCTGCAGGTGTGCTCAAATGATGCAGACAAGTGAGGCGCTGCCCGACCAGGCCTAGTGACATGTACTAAAAGCCAAGTGTTACTTTTTTTCTCTCTGCAACATGTATTGCCCTCTAACACACTATACCTTTTGCTTACTTTTGGTTTATTTATTTTTGGTCTTCCACAAACTAGAATGTAAGCAATATGAGGCCAGGGATTTTTTTTTCTTCTGTTGTGTTCATCACTGTATACACAGTGCCTAATATATGCTGGGTGTAAGCACTCAAAAATGTTAAGAGAGGACAGAGGAGTCAGCATGACGTGGTCCCTACTGGTCAAATCTAGAACATGTTGAGCATCAAAATGAATATTTGTAGTCAAAGATCTTAACCCTTTGAATAACCTAAGGACTCAAGGGATACTCAAGTGGACGTAACCATGGGATATGTGGACATAAGTGAATGAATGAATGAATGAGAAAACTTTCATGTAACAGAAAGCCAACTAATAAATGGACAAAATCATTACTTGGCAACTAACCATATTCATACTTGACTCAGTCAAGAATTATGAATGGATGCTCATCTACTTGAAGGTTTAAAGAATAAGGAACTATTTACATAATGTCAAAGTATCTTCCCACATGGTCGTTATTAATTACAAAGGGTGACATACCTAATCCAAGCTGTCAAAGGAACATGATCCGTAATAGGGTGAATTGGAAGAACATACCTCCCGATGTGACACACAGTGACAGAACTAACTCAGCATCACTTCTGTAACATTCCTGCCAGTAACACATGACCTGAATCTCTAGGAAGTAATAGACAAGCCCGAATTTAGAGACATTCTGCAAAAGAACTGATTTGCACCCTTAAAAACAGTCAAGGCCATGAAAATAGAGATATACTCAGGAACTGCTCCAGATTAAAGGAAGCCAAAGACTAGCCTGACAATAGAATGGAATGAGTGGACTTGGAGTTTCTTTTGCTAGAAAAGACTCTATTCAGATAACAGCTGGTAGATAAATAAAGTTTGTAGAAACGTGGCTGTGAATTCAAATTCCTGCTCAAAGGCCAGTGCTGAATACTATGACCTGGGAGTGGATCATAGTTTCTTAATTTCCTGATCATGATAATTTTACTCAATATATGTTGGAATTTCTTGTTTTTAGGACATACACACTGAAGTATCTAGGGGCAAAGGGGCATCTTGTTCACAATGGATAAAAAATATATGCCTATATGTGTGCATATGGGTGTA